TCCACAGTCAACAAATTACCCCACCCTTTAATATAAAAGTACAAAATAACGAGATAGACGGGATCGCACGTCTGCTGCGTTTCTTTCTTACGTTACACGCTTCCGGAAGGAGGAAAAACTCCGACCCACCGGAAGTCGGTAGATCCCTGTTGGTGCGCGCAGCTCTCGTCGATCGCGATTATACATAAAGGCTTATTTCCAACAAATTCTATGAAAAAAAAAAAAAAACTGTACATTTAAGAGCTGAAAAGATTAGAAACTGAATATTAACACGTTGAATGCCGAAAGATTAGTAAAAGCATTTAATTTAAATAAATGGTATTATTTGTAAAATTTTCATCTAATGCATCATACAGAATTAATTAATTTAAATAGTTTTATTTCTAACTGCTCACACATTATTTACGCATACAGCAATGTCTGGTATTAAAATAAGAAATTCATTTCAGCGTCGTGGACAAGTTACATACAAGTTCGTGTCGAATTTTACAATTTAGATCAATATTTCCAGCAAATCTCTAAATTTGACAAAAACAAAACGTAAACGCCTTCTCATTCCACAACTTTTTCCTGTTTTTTTTTTTCCTTTTTATTGAAAAGACCATTACGTCTGTCGTCGTTATCGAATTTCTTTAGATTTTCGTTAAAACATTTCTCGCTTTTGGCACGAAACGAACTCATGGATCGGCCTTCAACGTGTTAAATGATAATAATGTGACGCACCGGTGACCACATTCTTCCATAAAATTCTATGAAAAAACACGTATTCTGAGGAGCTGAGAAGATTAGAAATTGAAAAAAATTAAGTATTAACGATAATAAACACTTCGGTAAAATCGAACAGTCCACTCGTAAGCGAGCGTTTCGTGAATTTTACTGGTATCTTGAACGTGTTAAATCGGTATCGAATCGATACTGAATTCTATGTCGACTTTCATACTACTGTATATTATGTTCCAAAAGGAAAGGAGGCATAAAGGCTTGGCAATTTACTAACATCAGGGCCATCTAACTGTTTTGTAGATCCATCCTACTTTTCTTTCAATGCTCACGGGGTGCTCAACTCGGATCATGCGTAGATGAGCTGTTTGGTTTGGAAATAGTAACGTCAGAGCGTGTTCGTTGAAAAATCCGTTCGCCAAACGAGCAAACTTCGAAAAGAATCTTTGTGTCAGTTTCTACATGTAAGTTTACTAAACTACAGCTATTCATTCTTATTTTTATCGTTGCAATAAAAATTCATAGAATTACTATCTCTCTCAGACAGTTCCAATTACCGTTTAGATTAAACATATTTTTACCAGATAGTAAACACGAAATAGCGAGTTTCAACGAAAATTCAAATTAAACTAGCTCTCTTACGATTTATACTTTCGTAAGTGTCTTTACCTTGCTTTCCAAGCAAAGCGATAATCTAAAGCAACGGTAATTCCATTAATGACAGGAACGTTTTTTTTTTTTTTTCGGTAAAACTGTAAAGCAGAAACTGGTTTTCGCGTAAACCTGTAGAGCTATCGATGTTACAAGATAGAGAGGACATGTTCGACCATTGCTATAATAAGTATGATAGATGTTGAAGCGTACAATTTTTAACCACGCTGCAATTAAACTGGGAACGAAAGAAAAATAGTAGATAGATCGTGATGAAAAGAAAAAAAACCTCGAGTATTATACGGTGTTATTTTTCACTAGATTCTAATTTCGATATGGTAATTCGGAAGAGATTGTAGTCGAGTTTTATTTTTTCCACCAGAAATATAAATGTATGTACATACACTGAAGTGAAAATCTAGTTCGACCTGTTTCGTGTATCGTAAAAATTAATTCCTCGTTCCACCTATTATCTTCGACAACAAAGTAGGTGTGGACGAAGTTAAGCGAGGAACCAAAGGAGTGGAAGAGACTAAGAGAAAACATCTCGAACTCTTAACCGGTTGTGCGATTGAAAATGGGACTCCGCGAGCGAGTATACGTGTGTATGCAACCAGACGGTCGAAGACGCCCAGCATCAGAACCGGCTAACTGTTAGGTGGAACCTCCTTCCACCCAAAGGAAACTCTTCGTTCTACTTTTTTTTTTTCCTCCACCTCTCGGACCCTTCCGATGGATCACAAGCGGTGCTCAGTTTCTGTCATCAGACATTCTGTCTAGAATTTCTAACAAGAAGGCGGTCGGAATATCGGAATCTCGATCGAATTGGTTTTACCGTGCATTTCTGATCCAAAGAATTACCCGGAAAATTGATACATATGTGGAAAATGGATGCGTGTAATTATCCGGAAATTTGATGCATATGTGGAAAATTTATACGAACAATTATCCGGAAAATTTATTCGAAGAATTATCCGGAAAATTGACCCAGAGTTATCCGGAAAATTGATGCGAAGAATTATCCGAAAATTTGATGCATATGTGTATAATTTACTCGAAGAATTATCCGAAAAATTGATCCAAAGAGTTATCCGGAAAATTGAGCCAGAGTTATCCGGAAAATTGATCCGAAAAATACCCGGAAAATTGACACATGTGTAAAATTGATCGAAAGAGTTATCCGGAAAATTGATGCGAAGAATTATCCGAAAATTTGATGCATATGTGTAAAATTGATCCAAAGAGTTATCCGGAAAATTGATCCAAAGAGTTATCCGGAAAATTGAGCCAGCGTTATCCGGAAAATTGATCCGAAAAATACCCGGAAAATTGACACATGTGTAAAATTGATCGAAAGAATTATCCGGAAAATTGATGCGAAGAATTATCCGGAAAATTGATGCGAAGAATTATCTGAAAATTTGATGCATATGTGTAAAATTGATCGAAAGAATTATCCGGAAAATTGACCCAAAGAATTATCCGGGAAACTAATATATACGTGTAAATATTATGTGTAATAATTTCAAATATTAGGTAATTGCATCAAACCTCGAATTAAGTATAAATAATTTGGAATAACGTAAAACTAAAATGTAATAAATTACACAAACGATAAAATACCTGTACAGCTACAAACGAAAAGGAAATGAAGCTGGCAATACTGTTTTGTAATGATCTGAATTTCGTGTTAGTTTGACGTATTCTTTTCCTGACTATGCATCTAAGCGTCAGCTATTTACCGTTTTAGTGCCATATTAAGTAAGAAAAGCTAATGTATTATAGATTAATGAAATTTTGCAATATTCCGTTTAATAAATGAAACGGAAAATTGGAATTGAAGTTGATTTTTCTTACTGATATTACTGTTTTTATCAAATCTTGACCAAAATCTGTGGCGCGAGTTTAATTCGTTACTATATAGCAAAGTATTAAATTGACGGTAAAAGAACGCTAAAAAGGTTTTTGAGTGCATTGTCACTCGTTTTTGAGAAATTTGAGAAAAATTTCGAGCGCTGAGAAGTATGCGTTTAAAATATGGTCGAATACATATTTTCAAACTTAAAAATTTAATCTTGTCTTTTCCCGAAATAGAAAATTTTTTTAAAGTGTTTTTAAAATTTTGAATAGTTTGATTGGCTGAATTGAAATTGTAGAATTCCAACATTTCAATTTGAACATTTCGAAGCTGATTGGCTGAATTTAAATCTTACATAGTTTGAATTCGATTGGCCGAATTAAATTGTGCTTAGTTCAATTGCATTGGCTCAATTTAAACTTTGAATTTGATCGGCTGAATTTAAATTTCGAATTGTTTGAAATCGGTTGGTTGAATTTAAATATTAGAATTGGGATATTTAAATCTGAATAGTTAGAATTTGATTGGTTCAATTTAAATGTTGAATAGCTTGCATTTCATTGGCTAAATTAAAATTTATAAACTTGAATGGTTAGAATTCGATTTGATGAATTTCAATAGATATTAGAATTTCAATATTTTGAATTTGTTTCACTATATTGAAATAACTAAATTTTTACTTGGAATATTCCGAATATACAACGAAAATAATTTTAAAAAGTCATAATAGTCTTTTTAATAATTTTATTTTTACTCAATGAACTCGACACATTCAATATGAAATACACTGCTGCGCGGTCAGACGACTGTTTTGAAACAGTCTGCGTCGCCTCTAGCTACGGCACTCCCCACCACCCACAGGACATTAATAATAAAAAAACGTTTAAGCGTTGTTGATCATTCTGAACTCTAAATGAATTCTAACTCCGAACAAGTTAGAGAAAGTTGTTCCTTTCGGTTTTTCCATTTCTTAACTTACCTCGACTGGCACACACTACTCTCTATCACCATATTCCACCTCCACTAGGTGCACCGATCAATCCTAATAGTTTTGAAACTTGTCACAGAATATTTTTATACGAGAAATAGTCAGACTCAAATGAAAATTTATAGCGACACACTAAATCAAAAATCACTATTCCTAAAAATTTTATTCAAATATCGCACAGAAAATTAAGTTAACATGTGAGAATTCCAGTAGTTTTAAATATTGTCAGAGAATATTTTTCTATGAGAAATAGATTCAATGTCAGATTTGAATATCAGATTCAAGTGAAAATTTGTAGCGACAACACTAAATCAAGAATCACTACTCTTGGAAATTTGATTCAAATACGGCACAGAAAATTAAGTTAGCATGTGACAATCGTGGTAGCTTTAAAACTCGTCGCAGAATATTTTTCTATGAGAAATAGTTAGATTCAATCAAAAATCACTATTCTTCAGAATTATATTCAAGCACCTCGCACAAAATTACGTTAACACGCGAAGAACCCGTAAAAACCGTTAAATACTGCAAAGAGTACAACATCTTTAATATATTGTTTTATAAATTTAGACTGAATAGAGCACGAGAGACGAGAATGCCTAGTCTTCGAACGAACATGATATTTGTGTAACTGAGACGGGGCTTGTATGGCTATCTCCGTTAGCTTAATATGCATGTGTGTATATATATATATAACACGGTAACTCTACGAGGCACGTATGTACATGTATGTGTGCGATAGGTGTAAGTGTGTAATACGTGAGACTCAGCCTGTGCAACTACCTCTGTTGGTTGCGTACGGTGGTATAACTTCACAGACCCATGTGTGGTGCCATACTGTGATAGAGGCGACGTAAATACAATAAAAGAGACATGGACAGTATAGATGTCTCTGTTGGTCTCGTGTTCGGCAATGGCGATAGCCAGTCACGGTGCAGAGTCTGCTATAGGTATAACATAATCTTAGATATAAACTCAAATTCGGATGTTTTAGAATTTCGAATAAAAACAGAAATTTTCTGTAAACAAAAGATTGTCGTAAAATACTCGTTCAGGATGTAATATGCAAATACGGAAAGAGATAAAAGATATACAGAGATATCAGGCTATTTGAGAAAATTTATTGGTTCTTTAAGGAAGAAGAGAAAATATTATTCCGGAAAATAGGGAAAATGGTGAATTTACGTAATGGAATAATAAAAAGAAAACTGTAGACAAATATATAAATATACAAAAAATGTACCATAAAAATAAATAAAATATGCTATAAAAATATAGACAATAAAATTTAGAAATGGAGGAAATTAATTCAGACAGAAGTGCAATTGACTACAGTGAAAAAGTTAGGTTAGGTCCTAACCTAAGAAATGTCCCATACAAATCGATGTTTCGTAAGTGCAAACGGTTTGCAAATTTTTAAACACTTATGGTTAAATCTGTACCTCAGAGCTAGACTGACCTAACTCCACTTTTTTCAAAATTTAGTTATACGCATCATCTTATTACCTTTTCTTTACTGTATTAGAGCCATAAGGAGCTATTTACGCTGCACAGTAGATAAAACAGATTTAATTGTTCGAACTATTTCAAGTACAATGCTATCTTACATGAGCCACTCAAAAACCAAAACGATTAACTTCAGTTTCTGACATTTTACCAATTTTAGAATCAAAGCACAATTTTGGTGCTTAATTCTTATTCAAAAAAAAAAAAAAATTTAATAAATTTAACTTCACGGAGTTGGTCACTTTGGATTCTGAGTGGCTTATATGTGAACGCTGATGTCCTTTTGCTTTCCTGCAAAATTGCAATACAGGACTTGGGTCAGTCTGGCTCTAAGCTACAGAAATACTCAAGATGTAAGAATCATGGTTCGTGACCAGAGTTCTCAAAGCGATGTTAAAATAAACTTAAGTAAAATCATTTTCTGACGAAAATAAATTTGTGAGTTTTGGGTAAAAAATCAGTGAAACAGTTAAAGAAAAAAAAAATGTTGAATTACAATCATGAAATTTTGCAAGAAAGTAATCTAACGTGAATTTGTATTTTACGATAGTTGTGTTTTTACACGATTGTCGCGAATTCTGAGACGATTGAAAAAGCAGCGAAGCAATTAAAGAAACAAAAAATCAGAATTGCAGTCACTGAATCTTACGAGAAAGAAATCTATTTCTCTCCGTCCAGTTGGATTCGCAAGAGATAAAGCAACATGACAAAATATCATCGGTGATTAACTTGCGACTGATTAACCTAACTATGATTGACTTTGAAAAAAAGAAAAAGCAGACTGACACAAAACATCTTTCTGACCTGAATTAATAGAGACTTCCGAGGAAGAATTTCCAGCAAACTTTCTGGTACAGTCGTAAAATTATAACGATTCATTGACGTCAGCACAAAATTTCGCTTGTTTTTGTGTTCACGAAACAGAATGAAAACACGTAGACCAAGGTACGAATTTATTTATGCCAAAATTTATTCCTAACTCACTCTCTCTTTATTGTCGATTTCGAAGGTAGCAACAAGTTTGAATTTAACATTTATTCATCTCTGAAAATAAGCAAGCTTTTAAAAAATTTATCACTGTTTTTTCCGATATTTCAATTATTCAATTTTTTAAGAAACGTTTAAAGTCGATTCACGTTGATTAATACACGATACAACGAAAGCTTAAAATACATTCATTTCTTAAAACGTCAAATTAAGATTTTCATACCGTACTAATCAAAAAATTAAAAATCATCCCTTTAATCCCTTTAATCTTTCACCTCCTACAAATATTCTAGCTTTCAAAATAAAAAAAAAAAACACAACTATCCATGAAAAATCTAAAAACTGAAAATTACAACTTCTAGCTTGGACTTAAACCTATTCAACTCCCAATTTGGTGCACATTTCACAATTACCGTCAGTCGGTATCTCGCAAACAATACACATAAGGTCTTTGGGTCAAAAAAGATCCGAAGACCTCAAGTGTATAGTCGAACGAAGGAATATACCACGGTTAAGCGGCGATTCCATCTGAAATTATACACAGTACAACGTCGATTATCCGGACATTGATTACTAGAAGGTTGATAGCCGGGCTGTAGATTATTCAAATGCACGTAATCGATCATTTTTCAACCGTACACACGAAAATACTCAAACTTGCCTAACATAATCGAACAGATATTACTAGTTTTATAGAAATACACGGTGTTATCAGTTATCAGTGGCATTATTGCACACTTGAAACTATATCTAATATCAGCAGTAGCTTTTCAAATTTCGCTGTTCATTTAGCAGATACCTTGTCCTGGCAGAAATACGTGCAACTTATTCGAGCGATAGTTTCACTTAAAAGGAATCCGACGAGCCAACCACCACCGATCATCTAGACAGCTTTACAAATAAACTGAAATTATCCTTGAAAAATACCACCGCAGCTAGGCCAAAACGAAATACAGAATCAATTTCTCGCCAAGTTTCGTAGAACTTGTCCAATTAAGCGAAGGTTATCGCAAGTCAGTGGGCAAAAAGTCGAGTTACTTACCGAGAGTTGCCGAATGCAGTCAACCGAGAAACGGATAACGGTGATAATATGCAGTATTCGCCGCGGTATCTCGCTTTAACCTTTGCTCTCTACCCTTTATTAAACTAATACATGGAAATCAGCGCGATTAAAGTAACAACCAACGATTATTACAAAAGAGGAAAAAAAATTTCTTTTGTGAAATAAAATGCTTATACTTGTAAATTATGCACATTTTTTAACAGCAGAATGCCGGTCTGTTATTTTTAACGGGTGATCCTTGTGAAACATGTTTTTTTTCTTTTGTTAGACTATACTATAGCGAGAATTTAAGAAAAAAATTGTTCTCTAGAATCCTTCATCGATCATTCTCCAGTCTTGAATTCCATCGAAAACTTATCCGACGAGATCGACTGGGAAGTTAGAAAAAGTGTAATAAATTGAAAAAACGGAGTCAAGAAAACATGTTAAACCTTATCCGGTTGATTTATTTATGCAACGCAGCCGCATAGTCGGAGTGTGTTGGAATATACGAGTATTAACACGCGATTTTGGTAATTAATAATTTTCAAGAATACTCGGAATTTTTTCGAAACTTATTTATTGGCTACATTCAAGATTAAGCAAGAATTGCAGCGTATCGATATTAATCCTTTTGAACAAGTTGCCAAATACGATTACACGCGTGCGCGGCAAAAGAGGTATCTCACAAAATACTGATTCTTACTTAAAAATTATCCATTTCAAATTTGTAAATTTTCATTGAAATTAATTGCGGTATTTAAATATTTCGTCACTTCTCTCCTACAAACGTCTAGATTTGAAAGGCAACTAAACAAAACACATCGCCGAATTGGCTGACACGTGTGTAAATTTTGATAAAAACGCGGTTATCTTTTCTGGTCAAATAAAAATTCATTTACTTGGGTACGATAGAAAATGATTTATTCGTTTGAAGACGAACGAATTTACTAAATCAAAAAGATATTATTTGGCTCTATAAGAAAACACGACGATTTCCTAATTTTTCTCACAATTTCATCTTACTTTCAACATTACTACGTAAACATTTAGAGTCGACAATTAAATTAGCATACCACAACGTGAACAATTACGTTCGTATAAATTGGATATAACGATTTAATTACGGTGCATTTTATTCAATTATTTCGGTATGAAACATTAATTGTCACTTGAACGTGGCATATGCCACTCGTGATTAATTATGGACACGTAATCTCGAATGCACGAATAGACTACAAAGTGGCATGACCAATACCTCAAACGTCGTAGTCATAATTGAATGTTTGCAAAATGGGAACGAAAATTTAACCAATACTCGATAGAAATATGTTAAATATTCATCAGTTATTAGTAAGAAGGATAATACGGACCGAATTTGCTAAACAATGAGTTGAAAGAATTAGTTGCAAAAATACAAATAATTGCCAAACGTAGTAGAAGAAAAAGTAGATTTAAAAAAATAAATGAAAATGTATGTCATGCTGTATCCTGGGAGTGTAATAGCATTATAATAGATACAGGGAGCATCTTATTAAAGAAATGCATTAATTTGGCCATGTATAACGAATAATTTATTTTTAATTAATTTTAATTAATTAATTATAATTTTGAATTTTACAATTAATCGTGTATCATATATAATTTAACCAGAAACACTTCTCTATTCATTTTTTTACTGGCTGTGTATCCAAATGTCAGCTGTATTACGTTTTAGTGTTACGTCAGGTAAGAAAATTTAAGTATTACCAATTATTCACACCTCCTCAATGTTACAAATTACAATTGACTAGGGAAGTTTGGTAACTAGGAAATTCAAAAAAATTTGGAACTTTGCAGAAATGTAGTTCAAGTGACGTTAACTGCGAAACCATTTTTTATTTCGGCCATGAAACGATCCTAGGGGTGAAAACACCCCTTAAAAAAAAAAATGGCGAGTTTTCATATCATCGTTAAAATTTGCGAAACTGTGCAAGATATGGAAAAATGTTAAATTCAAAATTTCGCGGTTTTCGATGGTTTACCTTCTAATGGTAAAGAATTTCGAGTTATCAATTCTTAACGAAATTCTTAATTCTTTATAAAGAATTAAAGGTGGAAGCAAATTTTTTTCAAAATTTACCTCCGTCATTCTTAATTTTTTTGGGGAAAAAAAAAGGTTTTCATAAGGACGGAATAAAAGATTTGCAATGTTAGATCATATTTAAGATACTCGCAGGTACGCGTCACCATTATTATTTTAGTCCTGACTTGGTTTTGTTTCAAGCGAACTTTGAAATAACGAAGATTT